AACTATAGCTGAATGATATGTAGGTTTACTGTCATAGGAGATTGCATATATGTTGATTCCTCATGTCTAACCACAAATCAGGGTAATGATTGGAACTATTATAGTTCAATTATTGTCATTTGCAATTAGCAGGGTCGTTTGGTTTGTCTTTTTAGTCTTCCTGCTCTCCTGTAGGCCTTCTTCTTTTACCCCATTGGTCGTTTCAGGTTCTGGACTGGCCTTTTTCATAAATATTTTTCTCAGGTTTATGAAGAAAATATTTTATAAACTGTTGAACAAGAAGTTATCTGATGCATTTTTGGGGGTAATTATATAATATTGTATTAGATAATAAAGAAATGTTGATGTGTGGAAATATAACAGGCATTATTTTGCTTGAATTATCATAGGTTTAGCAATTTTAAATTTGGGGTCCAAGAAACTTAATTCCTTCATTGAAACCAGAGGAAATAGCCATGGAGCCCGATTCAGAGGAAATGGAGTCTGAATACGAATCTGAAGAAGTAGAAGAAGATGTTCCTCTCATGGAGCCTTCCAAGGATGCCATCTACAATGCAGAGGGCCTCCACGAGAAACTTGAGGACATAGCATGGCCCAAAGACATTGATTGGATCCAGAAGCTATCCATTGATGTAAATCTGGAGAGAGATATTGATGTAAATGACGATTTGGCTCGTGAGATGGCATTCTACACCCAAGCTCTCGAAGGAACGAGGCAGGCTTTTGGGAGACTTCAAAGCATGGCAATTCCCTTTCTTAGGCCTCCTGATTACTATGCCGAGATGGTGAAAAGTGACAGCCACATGGTCAAAGTGAAGGGTAAGCTCTTGTTCGAGAAGAAGAAGTTGGAAGAGGCAGAGGAGAGGAGGAAAGCAAGGGAGGCGAAGAGGATTGCAAAAGAAGTCCAGGCCGAAAAGCTCAAGGAGAGAGCCAAGCAAAAGAAACATGAGATTGAATCTGTTAAGAAGTGGAGGAAGCAGCGCCAGAATGGAGGCACCGGGGGGTCCAAGGTTGACTTGGATTTTGGTTTTGAAGAAGGGGAGGGATTTGAGAGGCCAAAGAAAATGAGGCCTGGCGTGGCCCCTGGTGATCGATCTGGTGGTAATGCAAGGCATGCTGGGAAGTTTGGGAAGGGGTCAGGAAAGGGTGGGAAAAGCAGGGAATACAGGAACACGAAGTTTGGACATGGAGGAAAGAAAGGTTTGAAGAGACAGAACAATGCGGAATCAGCTAATGATATTAGAGGATTTAACAAAGGCACTGCCCAAGCGAACAAGAAAAGGAAGAGGTAGAGCCAACTTCCATGTTTTATCTTACATCACTTCCATCCCATGAGACGGGCTGCTTTTGCTTTTGCTCTTGTCCTTTGTTTTTTCTTTTTGGTTTTCTTTTTTAATTCTGCTTGGCTTACCCTCCTAAATCCTTTAGCTTGTCCAATTTTGTTTCTTTTTATTTTTTTCAGTAGACAAGCTTATCTCGTGAGGATGTTAGATTTGGTGTAAGGGAGCAGGCTGCCAAATCATCTATTCTAGTTTTTTATGTATAAGCATATTATCAAAGTATCAAGAGTGTCTCAATCTGGGATCCATTTTGGATGTTGTTTTGCCTATTTCCTGTGATATTGGGGATGATCGTTGCATATCCTACATTTTGTTTCGATGGAAAATGGTGGTATATCCTACTAAAACAACCAAAGTCAGGAATATGGGCAAATCTGTTGAAAAAAGGAATGTGGGCAAACCCATTGAAATAAGGAATGGATTAATGGAGTTTCTGATGTGAGGGCACCTTCTGCAATTCATTCGTTTCTGGCTGCAAGAACTGTTAAACCTTTAATGTGTTGATTTGCGTTTTTTCGACCATTTCTGTGTTGAACTACGGTTTTATTTATTTATTTTTGTGAATAACTTTCACATTAAATATATATCTCAGAAAAAAGAAAAAAATCTGAAAAAAAATTCACATTTACATGTGCTGCCCTTCAGCAAGTTGCTTTTACAGAAAAGGAGACATACTCCTAGTGTATTTTCATCTAATTTGATTTTTAACTATCTTTCTAGAATTTTGGTTAAAGCCTCCAGTTCTGAGGTGATCCTTGCTTTGCAAATCTAAATATTGGCTTGAAAAAGATCGTCTCCACTAACAAGTTCAGCTGCCAGATTATTTTTGCAATACTGGCACTTCAAGTTTTGTACCTCACCATCAAACATGGCCTTTGATATGAAATACACAAATCCTTCCTTCTGGATGGGTCTATCCCAATTGGTTATGTGTTGAAGCTTACCATAAGCCATATGGTAACACTTGTAACCCTTGACCTTGTTTCAGATAATCGAAGTGTATGACAATTGTTTTTGCATTTGTATGAACAACTAACGAAAAGGGCAAGGTCCTGACCTAGAGTGCTATGTCCCTGGTTGTATGCATCTGCAAACGCAAACACTCCACAAGAAAATCTTCTTTGAAGCAGTGAATGTGTCCTCCTCCTGTGCTGTGTATAGTCACATGCATCTCTACAATTACACCTTTTTGAAAAATGTATTGTAGTACTGATGAAAGTTGGTTATATCAAGGGAAATTTATGGAAGAATCCATTTTATTTTTGAAATTTCAAGATGGTCCCCTATATTACATAGTTTACACTCAAGTCCCCCTCTTTTAGAGCACAAGGTTCTTTTTTTATTTTACTTTTTTGTATATCACATTGAGCTCAAATTTGGGGTATTTGTACTTCTCACCATAAGAAATAAAAATAATAATCCGTTAATAAAAATGCCTACAATACCCTACAAGTTTCAGAGGTATTTTGGTAATTTTCGGCCTTTTCAAATGACTTCTTTTGTATTTTTTACGTGTGCGTTATGGTGAAAAGTATGCACAACCCAAAATTTAGCTTGATCTGATACTTGGAAAAATAAATCGAATTAAAATATGCCACACTCTCGAAAGTGGGACTTGACCATAAAATTTATAATATATAGGGGACTATTCTTGAATTCCGAAAATAAAATGGGACACTACTTCTGTAAACTTCCCTTATATCAAAGCTGGGATTCTTGAAATATTTATTTGATAGGGTGGGTTTTTGCATGTGAAATATCCTGATTTGAAAGATCGTTAACATGTCCTTGGAAAAGCAGGAATTTGATGGTTCATGTTCACTATTGGGATCTGTGGTTGTAACTACCAGCACGTGCATTGCTTTTTATCCCGAATGGGTAAACCCAATGGTGATGCGTGCCACTTGATGATTCATGCCCAAACTTTCATAATCTTTTTGACTTTCACGCTTGCATGAATCTGAATGGAATTTAGAAAGCTTTTGCTACGCATGCTAATACATTGCTAAGTAGTATAATCTGATGAGTCATTTAAACTTGTGAATTATGTTTTTAGCTTTCTCTTGCCCATGTGAATTGTAGTGAAAACGGTTGCCGTCAGACTACTTACCATGAGACATATTGTTGGATGTGCTTATCTCTTTGTAATATTACGTGGTCTCTTTCTTTGTTCTGGTGTATGCCCAATTGCTTTTAGAGAAGTTCAGGAAAAATTCCTAATAATTAGCTGTCTCCATAATTTTTTTTGTGCTTTTTAAAAAAAATTAAAGATCATTATTTTTGTGCTTTATTGACTGGTTAAGCAACTTGGAGCTTTATCTGATCCCCATAAACTCTGGCACATGATGCCTTCCTTTCTTTTTATTATTTTATATGCTGCCTTTCATTATTTGTCTGATTTTTGTATTCTATGAAAGCATCTCAGTGGTTCCCCAAATTTGTTGATGTTCACTGAGCAGTTTGCAATCGCTGATTAACACTAGCCAGAGTACAAATCCATGCTTATCGATATTAATGAGAACTACTTTTACCAAATCTGTTCTGAATTGACTCGTATGTTCACGTGTGTCATACACATTTTTATTTTAAAAGATCCTGATTTTCAGATAATTAAACAAGATACTCGTTACATATATCATCTTAGCCTGGAGATAAAGCTACCATAAACTCAAAACATACTTTAGAGTCCCCATGCCATTTTCTCTATGCATATGGCACCAAGAGATATCCAATGGGCCTGTAATAGCAAAAGTCTCCTCTAAGATCTCCATCTGCCTTGGAGATATGGAACCTATGTTACACGGTCAAAAAAAGATATTGAATCTATGTTACTAGCATAGACTAATATAATCAAACTTTCTTGTTCATTGATAGAACCAAAAAGATTGATGTAAAAACTCAAATGTTGGCATTGAAAATAAAAATCGCTCGTGACAAAAGAAAAAACTGATAGTAGAAGAGGCCCGAGACAAAAGAAAAAACTGGAGAGAATTACTATTGAACTTAAGGTCCAAATTTGATAGGTCATAAAGAAGTCCAAGGTTTGCTTATGATCCAAGACCCAATCCCTTTCCTGACACTCCTGAAGATAGTCGTGATTAGTGTAATAAATAATTTGCTGCCTGGTTACTGTTCGGTTATGTCTTAACATTCTCCTTCCCCAAACCATAGTTGAAGGACTCAAAACTCATTTGCTGATGCAACAAATAGTAATCTACTTGAAATGCTGTTATTTGCTCTCTTATTTTCTAGGTACATTATTGAAGAATCCCAGTCACTATTCTAATTCATTCATTGCAAATTTAACCTATTCTGGCTTTTGGATCAGCAATTGATCCGCGTTTTTCTTTTGTATTTTTTTTTTAATTTTATATCTTTTTTTTGGAGAACTGATTTAAATTATGTCATTTGGTGATGAAATTGTCACTAACAACATCTATCATCTGGATAAATTGCACTTGCAGAAAATATCCAGGCATGAATATTAGTCTAAAATTCAGGTCTTCCTGGTGTATGAATTGATGAAATATCTTAGGCTCAAGATACTTGGATTTATCACTGGCCGATGTATATTGGGTTTGAAAATTGCAATGTGACATGGACAGAAATGTCAATGTTTTTTTGGCATGATAGACACACCAAGGGTGCGATAACCTTGTGTGATACTTTAGAAGCCTAGAGACTTCTAAACATTGGCTCGAAATCTCGCTATAGAAGTATTTAGCGACGCCTAAATCCCCACCTTGACTTGGATACTCTGAAAGGCAAATTTTGGCATTGCCATTTCCTCACACTCATATGCTTATCATATTCTGATACATGTATCCATCTCTAGGTAAATTGAGAGGCTATGCTTTGCCTAATTGTTTTGAGCAACGATTGATTGGACGTATAAAGTTAGGGCATCATTTCCTTGGAGGACTTGATTGTAAAAAAAGCAAAAAAAAAACGCATTTGTAGGACTCCTTGGATTATTTACACACAGATTCATTCACAGGCATATACATACATACATATCTGTGTGTTCATATATGTTGGGGGATAAGTTTGTTTATCACATACCTTTTAGGAAGTGTATTGAGATGGATTCATTGCCTATCATCTGCTTATCGACTGTTGGATCGGCTTGGCCTTGCATGAGAAGAAGAGAACGCAACGTAGCCAAAGACAACTTGCCCACAACCTTCCTACTCTCTCTCTCTGTAACACATGGCCCACAACCTTCCCTCTCTCTCTCTCTCTGGTACACATGGACACAACTTTGTTCCATATTTTGGTTTCTTCATGCAAACAGTCATCTTTGTCACAAGGTCAACATTACCAAAAAAAAACAGTCATCTTTGTCATGCATTCTCTCTTTGAATTCATGCATGTGCAGTGCCGTATTGCCTTGTTACTCCACAACATACCTCTGTGTCCCAACAAACTTCTCTCTCTCTCTCGCTCTCTATCTCTCTCTCTCTCTCTAAGCATGTCGGCAAGTCATCCTTGGCTGCAGATCGTTCTTCACCTCTTCATGCAAGGCCCTTAGGCGAGAAACAACACCATTGGACTATTTGCCAGGAAGCTCTCTTACACAAGCTCTCTCTCCCTCTTCCCGCCCCCAATCCATATAAGTACCATTGTTTTTATAGGCCTAACTGCTTCAACGCACTGCCATATTCTTAGCCGACCATTCTACACATCTTTTTAGAACTCTATGAAAAGGTGTTTGTCTGATTGTGTGTGTGTGTGTGTATTTGAGAGATGACTGCTTCTGCCTGCTGTAATACACAACATGTTTTTGCACCACACTTTGGAAACCCTTCCTTTTCTGGAGATCTCTAATGTGACCCACAAAAGATTTTGGGATGACCCCACATCCCCAAAATGGAAGAGGAAAAAATGACTTTTGGGGTAGGGGCCTCCCGGCATTTCTGGCCCTTGGAGAATATGGGGTGTTCATAATATATATATATATATATATAAAAGAGAGAGAGAGAGGATTGAAGTGCATCAATGATGGTTTTTTATGGTCTTTTTTAGTAGTTTATTTGTGTTGATAGTTGAGCATGGATAATGGTTCCTTTTGCATGATGTGAGCTGTTGAGATTTTTACTGTTTATGATTGATTTTTGCTGACCTGTTTGTGAGCAAAATAAGGTGCTTCCCACGTGACATGTTTGTTAGAGTTTTTGTTTTGTATTTTTTTTCTTGGTTTCAACCGTCAAGTGAGGGGTTATGTTTCCTTATGTCTTGATTCTTATGCTCTTTGTGCTGGGAGTAATTCTCTGCTTTTCATGCTCTTTTAGAGGGTTCTGGTTATTGCCTCTCTCTCTCTCTCTCTCTCTCTCTCTCTCGTACAGAGAGACAACGACGACGATAGAGAACATTACAAGAAAGAAAAAGAAAGAACGAAACGTACGTTAATTAGTAGTCGTCCTCCTTACTTCTACTC